GATCATGATGGAAGCACATCTCTACGCTCTACATGACTGCATGTGGATGGTGCTTGAGGATGGACCCTTGAAAATCCAAATGGAGAATCCTGAGAGGAATCCAGCAACTCCTGATGTAATCCAGTACATTCCAAAGCCCAAGGAAAAATGGGATGATAGAGATTGTAAAAAGCACAATCTGGACAACGTCGCCAAAGCAACCATCTTCAAGACACTTGATCCCATCAGCTTCTCCAAAATCAAGCATCTCAAGACTACCATGGAGATATGGCAAGGTCTTGGGAAGCTATGTGAGGGATCAGAGGACTTGAGAAAGCAGAAGATAGAAGTCCTACTTGAGAAGTTCAAAGGCTTCAAAATGCTTTCAGGAGAATCATTTGATATGTTGGATGAAAGGTTCCACAAAATCTTGAATGATCTTGCCTCACTTAACCACGTTCTCTCTCCCAAAGAAAAGAATGTAAGGTTGCTGAGATCACTCCCAACTGAGTGGTACACCAAAGCCACAGCCATGGAAGAAGGAAGAAACCTGGAAAACTACACTGTTCAAGGTCTCCTTGATGAATTCAGAACCTATGAGCACGAGCTGAAAAAGAAGAAGGAAGAACAAGTCACTCCCTCCCCCACGGCATTGATGACAGCTTCAAGAATTCCATCAAGTGAAGGGACATGCACAAGAAACTGTGACACACCTTCCTCCAGCCAACCGTCAAGCTCAAAAATGGAGAACTACGAAGAGGAATTTGCCATGATGGTCAAACAATTCCGGAAGTTCAAGAAGTTCTTCAAGAAGGCTGATTCAATCAGAAGGCCATCCAAGGGAAAGCCACAGGTAAGTGACTCCCCTCCTAAATCTTATTTATGTTATAACTGCAGGAAGCCTGGCCACGGGAAGTCAGCATGCCCGTACCCAAAAGTGGAGAAGTACGGAGAAAGAGAAAGGATCGAGAAGAAAAAGAAAGCAATGGTTGCTGCTGAAAGTGACGAGTCATCCAGCTCAAGCTCGGATGAGGAAGCCCTCGTCTGAAGAGTTGAGAAGTCCAACCATGAGGATAGGTGGACTATGTCAGAAGATGACACTCTCTGCCTAATGGCCAAAGATGATGCTGATCAAGAGGTAACCTCACAAACCTCCTGCTCATCTTCTTATAGCACACCAACTTCTGAAAATCTTTTTGACCAGTTCAAAAAGATGATGAAAGACTTTGAGGAAATAAATCTCAAACAC